CAGTGAGCCGGCGACTAAACCGGCGATGGCCAATCCGAGAATCCATGGCTTGGCAGATAATCGATTCTTCATTAGCAGTGGATGAAATTTTTTGTCAACTCTTCAAAAACCAACAAATCGAGGGCTCGTTCTCTAAGGGGGGCGTTTGGTTCGTTTAAATGTTTAGGGGGACGGTTTGCGAAACGGAGTGGAGAGGACGGTAGTCAAAATGACCTCGATGCCCTCGCTTTTCGGACTGTCTTGCCCTCCAGTAAATCAAGCTTGACCGGTTCTTTGGTAAAATGCCTCTGGCTTCAACGTTTCGCTGACTCACGTGATGATTGGATGCTCGACCCATTGTGGGGTCCGTTCCAAAATTTCTGTCCACTTACCGATCGCCACGTGTGTCAACTTGGTCCTTGTTATACGAGTCAAATTTTACATTTACAAGAAACTAATCTTAATTATTACCAACCAGATGAAATCACTGTTTTGTAAACAAATTAAATGCAAATGGTCGGTGTTTTTTGAATAAATACAACGACTCTTATCGCAAAATAATTATATAGGAATTAAAAGGAAAATTCATTAAATAAAATCCAACCACGAAAGTCCTAAGTTATCCTGTAGCCTCCTACATATGAGAGGAAACCAAAACCATCCGGCACCAAATTCCTTTAGTATTATTTGAAGCAAAAGGAAAAAACATCTAAATACTCGATCACTACCCCTACACCTAAGATATTAGGAGATGCCAAAATCGTCCAACCGACTTTTAACCATACAATCAAACTTAATCGGAATCTTTGTTTGTCATGTTTTACTAAAAATTGAGCCCTTCTCACATGGAATGCAACAACCAGACTTTTGAATATCAATTGATGACATTTTTCTCACCTCTACTGATCTACTTCCTTTGTCAATTTTGATCAAGGTTTTTTATTGAAGTTATTTTCATGCCAGGTTGGTGATCTTGACTATTTACCTTTCACCCCATACTCTTCCATTAACATCTTCAAAAGGAAACCAATCTATACTAATCTCTGCAACAATACCAAGCAACCACAACGGATGGTTGGGATGTCGGAATGAGCTAGCGTTGAGTCGAGACGAGCTGGAACGCGTCGGGATGAAGTGGGATGAAAACAGATGAAGAGGCAGGCTTCAGGCCAAAGGGGTTGAGGAGGCAACGATGCACAGTGCCGAGGCGCTAGGGATGGCGTTCTGATGGGGTGCATGGACGACTTTCCATCCGTAGCGCCATCGCACTCTAACGACATTTTATAAATACAACAACTTCAGTTTTAAGTTTTCTAAGCCGTTTTTTATAAGCGTTTTGTGGCAGTTTCGAGGTAGAGGCTCGGGGTATTGACAGAAGCATTTGGGCAGATCATCAACATATTCGGGGTAATTAGATCTTGATTCTATTGTGAGCTTTCATGCTCGTACCTAAGTATAGTGTATTATGATACTTAGAAACTATGGAGCTTTTGTTGGGACCTCTAGATAGAGTGAATATCTGGGAAGATATTTGAGTGCTTTTTATCAAATCTCGATTATTAGTAGAATTTTCATCTGAGCAGAAGATTGGACATAGCTCATAAACTGTTGAGCTGAATTAATATAAGTTTTTTTGTGTCGTTATTGTTTCTTTCCTTAATCTCTTATTGTGTTGTATAATTGTGATTTTGTTGGAACTGTGAGGGGAAATTGGTATCAGGACGAATGATGCAGTATCATGAGATCTAGTTTCAAAAGGGTGCAGTATCATGAGATTTGACCATAGAGAAAGCTTTGAATTTTAGAAGATGTAAGTGACAGGTCTTTTTACATACAATATAGGAAACCCTAAAAGAACATATGACAACCCCTAAAAGAACGTATGACAACCGGGAGAAGTCATCCACATCAAGAATCTTTGAAGTATCTTGAAGCACATTGTTTCCATACGAGAAGCTTACAAGGGAAACCACTACCGATGGAAGGAAATAACTAATTTCAAAAACATCTATAATGCTTTTACAACTTGATAACAATGGTTAGCGATTATCTCAACATTTGTACTATTCTACTTACAATACATTACACTGGTGAACCATCCTGGGTGGTTCATTGGTTAAAAGGAATTAGGGTTAATTAAGAGGAAATGAGTTCAAAAATCTCATGATAGACACCTATCTTTGGAATTACTAATTCTCATGTATTTTTCAGCACCAAATGTTTGGTGGAGATGTCTCTTTTTCACGATCTTAATCCGACCCGCAGGAATCTTAAGTTTGCATAAATGTTATACTTAACCAATGTCAAAAGATGAATGGAAATTGGTCAAAGGTTTAACAAAATTTTCTACCCTTATTATATATATTGGCCATATATTTATTATAAATGTTACGTTAGGAATTATAAGTTGTAGTATCATACAAGAAATGTCAATACAAGTGACTTATTTTATGCACATTGCATCTTTTAATAAAAACAAATAAACAAAACAAAACATTTTTTTAACAAAAGTCAACTAAATTTTTTTGATAGGTGCCAAGTATTCAAGGGTTTCTTAACCATGTTCTTACATACTATGTCTAACAAATAAAGTTATCCTTATTATTTATTTCAAAACCACACGTCTCAGTGAGAATTCATTTTAAAATATATAACAATATTTTATTTATACAAATCATCTAAAAGACAATTTTAGAATCATACATAAACTATATATGTTGGGTTTGTAAGGTGATTGCAAACAAAGTCTCATATTGTCTACGGAGGGGAATGATGATGGGTATATAGGATAGGACAATTATCTTCATTAGTATGAGACATTTTGGATGGACTCGATTTTATTTCATGGTATCCGAGCCAACAAGAGAATTAGGATGCTTTATACCCAGTTTAGGGATTTGTCTATGATCCATGATTACAAGGTGGATCAGGATCAGACCTCTGAAAAAGTCAAAGATAGTCATATTATCCACCTTTAGAGACATTTTTTAAGAAGGTTGTCCTTTAACAAAATACATCTTTCTTTTGTGATATTTTTGTAATTACCCTATAAATGGAAGAGTTTGTGATTTATAATAAGGATTTTGAGATTAAAATTTTTAAAACAGAATAATTTCCAAAAATCCGGGGGGAAAGAAACTGAATTTTAACATATAATATTTAAAAAATGATGTCTTTGATATTTCCGATATGTAGGGGGAGTTCAACTTCAAGCGCATAATTATTCACGATTTAAGAATTGCCCAGTAGGTCTTGGCCATTGGCCAATTAGGGCCGGGGATCTCTCATTTGATCTATAATGTTGTCGGGACATACCACGTATTTCCCCACGTCTTTTAGCTCGTTCAGCCACGTGGCATCGTGGACCATTTACTTCTCCGGAAAATTTAGAATCTCGTCCCAGTATTGGGCTTATCCATCAGGCCCACTTAATCTTGGGTTTCACTCAACAGGCCCACTTAATCTTGAGAAAAAGCTCACCATAATAAATCATATATATATTTGGTTGAGATAATGTCTTCGGATGACTGTTTTTTAAACTTAATTTTACAAATGTCTAAAGTTTTTAAATTTTACACTTTTAGATTTCTGCATGTAGTATTTTTTTATAATACTGATTTTATCCTTATTTATTACATTTACTTTTATTATAGTTTTTTTTTTGGAAATTTAAAAGATTTGAATCCCTAAATTGTAATCATATTCCTTTAATTATTGTGGGCCCCATGCAAAATTTCGAACACTAATTGCTTGACTCACCCCTTCAAAAAATATTTATTCCCATGATTTACCATTATTATTAATGGAAAAAATATCCACTTTCATATCCTTCATGTGTAAATTCCCACAAGTTGTTGGAAGCCACCGCCCGACGCATTTCAAATTTGATTCAACAAGTTCATCTCCATTCGAGTACTTTTTCCCCCATATATCCCAATATATTCCTATACTCAAAAAGGTAAGGAGTGCAAGACAACCATTATAAGATTATCCCCATATATCCCTACACACAAAAAGGGAAATGCACAAATTTGTTATGGTGTTTTGTATGCTAAGATCAAGCTCACTATAAGATATATTCTCATATAACCCTATATATACAACCATTGGATACTACTTAGGTATGAAATGAACATTAGGATATATTGGAATATATACAACAAAAAAAAGTACAAGAAAAGGGTTTAACAATACAAAAAAAACAAGGTTTTCAACATTAGGATATATTAGGATATATTGGAATGCAACTTTTTGATCGAGATAAACGGAATGAACTGCTCCAGCGACAAAGAAAAACGGAGGTGGGGACCGGAGACGTAGGAGCAGACAGAAATGGAACGATGGTAGAACGAAAACGGATTGCTCGACGACGGGAATAGACAACTTTGCGACGGATATGAAGTCTCTGAGACAGTCGAAGCAGACGAATGGAGGAGCAGACGAAATCGAGGTGAATCGTCAGAGAAGGCACAAACAGTTGGAAGAATAATCCCGGCGAACGAAGAAGACACGAACCGTCGCTATTTTCGAATTTGGGGATTTTTTTGGAGGTTTTCGAATTTGAGAGATTTGGAGATATTTTTAGATGTTTTGGTATTTTAGCTTTATCATTAAGATTCAAAATATAACCTTCCAATTGACGAATTCTGGAATTTAAAAATCAATTAATATTAATGTGTATATACAAAAGGATAGTTTTGTAATTTAGGTGATGGGTACCCTCCTAAATAAGTTTGTTTCACGATAAAAATGTAAATTTTTTTCCATACATTCTATCATTTTATGTAATTAAAAATTTTAAATAGTCGATCAATGTAGTAATCCCTTGGTCAACCACATACATTGATTGGTTTATTGACTACATGAGTAAATTGATCAAAAGAAATTGCAATTAATGCAATGCAGAGAAGAGCGATTCCGGACAATTGGCCGTTGGCGCGCCAACGAGTTCCCTTCCGCCACAGTCCAATCGGGTCATAAAAAACGGGTCAACTTTTAAAGGGATATCGGCCGTTGATGAACTACGAAGTCTCCCGCATGCAATTTTAGACGGACACGTGTGAGGAGTCGAGCCACGCGGTTCGGGTACAGGTCAGCCTCATTAATTTCCCCACTGCTGAACAGAGCAGACAGCTACCCCAATGGGCAACTTAACTCCGGCCCAACTACCCCAATGGACCATCATAAAGAAGCCCGAATTTCCACCCCGCCATATCGGCCGTCGGATCAATCTAGAGGGTTACGTGGCAACCCATAATTTCCCATCTGCATTAATTGGCATTGCTCTCGGTTTGGCTTTATATCCTCCTCCGTCGTCCAAGCGAACGCTGTGTAGTTCTAGTCAATTGGCATCAGGCATCAGGTCGAGGTCGAGGATGAGGAGGGGAGCGGGGCGAAACGCAGTCGTTTTGTGGTTGTTGTTGGCGGTGGCGGTGGCGGCGGCGGAGGACGAGGGGAATCTGAAAGAAGAGTGCAGCAACGATTTCCAGAAGGTGGTGAGCTGCTTCGATTTCGCGACGGGGAAGGCGGTGGCGCCGACAAAGGAATGCTGCGATTCTGTTAAGGTTATAAAAGACAGCAAGCCAGAATGTTTGTGTTTTTTCATACAGCAGACTCATAACGGGAACCAGCAGATTAAGAGCCTTGGCATCCAAGAGACCAAGCTTCTTCAGCTCCCTTCTGTCTGCAGCTTGAAGAACTCTAGCGTCAGCTACTGCCCCAGTAACTTCTCTCTCTTCTCTCTCTTCTCTCTCTCTCTCTCTCTCTCTCTCGTAAAATAATATGAATCTTTTTTTTTTCCTTTTTCCTTAAGAGGCTCATTCTTTTTCGTGTTTAATAACAAATTAAAAGTACTTTAAATAATTGTCTTAAAATATAGACTGTACATGAAAATAAGTAATAGAAAGTATGGAGAGTTATCAAAATATATGTTTCAACTGAGGCTTGTTTCATCATGCTTTTATTTGTTGGCTTTCTTTTTGGTTGTGTGGGTTTTACTTTTATGCCTGTGTTTTATTAGTTTTGTTTTTATTTTTCAAAACTAATTTTGAAATTTTGGTCTAATATTTAAGAAACAAAGAAACGGAAGTTCTAACAAAAGAAGTTTGTCATGATTTCACGTTTTTCAAAGTATATTTTTAAAATAATAAATAAATATGCTTTTTAAGATAAAAAATATTGTCCAACGTAAATTGAATATTCATTTTGAAAAGTATTGTTTTCAGATCATAACAACTTAAAGTTTGTCGAAACTTTTGAAGAAGATCAATTTATTTGAAAACTTTAGGAAGATGGTTGAAAGTGAAACTCCTCGTCTTTCTCTTTTTCTTTTTGAAAAATAACTGAATTTTTTTAAAGTACCTCACAACAACCTGTAAGCTAGATTAGCGACATACAATTAGTTGAGAATTATATGTTCATCTTGACAAAAATATCTGGAATTTTAAAATTACTTAAAAAGCAATAGATTAAAGAAGCTCCGTTTAATTTAAACTTTTGAAAATTAATTTTTATTGTTTTTAGCAATGAAGGTTAAGTTGACTTATAAGAACAGTCAACTATTTTGTTTAAATGATTTAATCCAATAGTGAAATAAATATTATATAACAATTAAGAAAATACTTTTCAACTATTTGCTTCATTATTTATTCGATTTTTTTTCCAATTTGTAAAATGTATTTTCATAATTCTTAATGTAATCATAAATTCCAAGAAATATACCAAATTCTTAAAAAAGCAATGAAGTTTGAATAATCTTAATTCAAAATAATATCGCCTCAAATTTTTATCCAATATTAGAAATCACCTGAAATTAAAGATATGTGACATTAAATGGTAATAGTATTCGACTTTTCCTCTGTCAAACACCTCAGTTTTTTTAAGTCTGTTTTTAAAATTTACACAATTAAATGACGTTGTTGGAAAATTAGAACCAATAGATTAAAATACGCTATTGATACTTCAACTTCAACATAATCCAAATAATGGTAATCTTTTCTTTCTGATTATTAATAATATTCATGTGGTAACACTGGTAAGACAAGATTTGAATGGCTTATCTATATTTATTATTAATATTTTTAATAATCCATAATGTTTTATTTAAAATTTTATTATAGAATAACGTTAATTTTTGCAATTTAATTTGGGCAGAACTTCTGGGCATACCAGCAAATTCAACCGATGCGGCTATTTTCAGCAATACCACGTCACCAGCTACACCGGCGGCGACGACGACGAGCCCCAGCGGAAAATCGGGAACTGAGACCGTGGCGAAGCCTCCCGCCGGTCTGATGGCAATGGCCATCGCCGTCGTGTTTTTCACAGCGTTCCCCGCTGCTATTACTCCTTCTGCCGCCGGCGCGTGAGGATCGATTGGAATGAAACAATTTGTCCCGACGGCCGGCGTTGGCGGGCTGGAGGCTTTCCCGTTGGCCGCCTCTCCGATCTGTGGTTTTTGGTTTAATATGATTTCGGACAAACCGGAAGTTCGACTCTGCTTTTTACTTCCTTTGTCTCGTTTTGTTTTGTTGATATATTTTATTTTTAATTAGGACAAATTATGTGTAGACTGTAGGTTTTGAATCTCTCTTTCGTTTTGTTTTCTGTTTCATGAACATGTTTGTGCTTCTTTTCTGAAGAACGGAGAAGAGAAGCTCTCGAGAAAATCTATATCCGTTGTGCGCTCGTATGACGATTTCATCATCCCAGTTGGGCCCTAAATTCGTTTCAACTTTTACATTTTGGTTCACTTTTTTTATTATTAGTTTTTAATAGAATGCGTTTAGGCAGGTTCGAATCCAGGATCTCTTGATGGAAAAAATTGAACAAATCTCTCAAAAATTGACAAATAAGAAAGAATCTAGCTCTAAGCTAGTGTTGCATTTCAACGGCGTTTGTTTCATTTTAGTAGGTCTATATGTTGAACAATTTATCGAGAAAACATAAAAATATATATTTATTTTTTTTCTTATTACAACAGTTTGGGAAATAGATTTAAACTCATGACCATTAGAGATATAGGTCAATTATTGCTGAGTTATGTGGAGGAGCTATTATCTATGTAATTGAAGAAGTTGTAGAAGAGCACCACCACGGTTCAGGTCCCGACACATGGGGGATTAATTCAGCAGCAAGGATCGTGAATCAAGGGAAGGGAAGAATGTTACCAAAATTTTGAAGTCACCCCCGACCGAGACCTAGATGRCAACCTAACCTAGTACGTCATAATTGAGAAAGGGAACACCCCAGAGCCAGAACACAGTCGCCGACCTCCAAACTTTTCATGAGCACCCGCTCAAGTGAATAAGGGAGGATCAAAAGTATATATTTTAAAGCTAAAAATATATATTTTAAAGCTCATGTAAACAAAGTGTATCAAAATGTAATAACATTGCAAAATATTACTACATTTATTCAAGTTTAAGATGAATATTGCAATATTATGAAAGTTTATTTAATTTCCTGAGATTTAAACCAGATTCAGAGAATTAGCGCACCCTTTGAGGCAACATAACAATATTACTTTAGAAACCCAAAAAAAATTTTTTTTTGAGGGAGAAATGAGAGATATTTTGTTCCACCACAAAGAATTATTTGATTTTTGCATTTCAACGAATTTACACGATACATCAAAACAAACATTTCTAGGATTGAATGATTTATAAAAGTGGAGTCATCCTCTTAACTACCCGCGTTGATTTGGTAATAATAAAGATAATAACGAATAGAAAAAAATTAATGGCTTGGATCGTGTATCAACAGTCAATCCTCGGTAGAGTCCAACCTCATGGTTATTATCAAAAGGTACGATAGAATGAGCTCAATATTTAAAACTCAAATTATCTCTCTCACATTTGACCTAATTAAATTGTTAAGTGAAAATACAAGATGTCAAGTAAGCCTACTGATGAGTCATATATGTACAACAAAGTCTTTCTCAAGACCTCTACTAACATCCCTTGGGTCCATATATTAATTAGATTTAGTTATTTATAATGACTATCACAATCATTTAAACACGATACTTGACATTAGTAAATAATCCCTACCAATAAATGAGTCGTTTATGTACTAACAAGTCTTTCATATTTTCTTCTACTTATTACATCTAAACGAAATTTTATGTTTAGAAATCGTAGAAAAGGATGAAACAATAAAATATCGTGGGGTAATACTGTTTGTAAAGCGAGTGTAAATTAATGGGCATATAAGATAAATTTATGTTTAATTACAAATTCAGTCATCGTTTAAGTTTATTTTTTTTGTTGAGGGTAAGTCCAAGCAGAACATGCGTCGGATTTTGAGACAGCAAGACGAGAGACCACAAACAGTTATCATCGTACCTTGCGTTGGCAGGTAGGTGCGTCGCCGCCACCGTTGTATGATGAGGATACCTAGGACTATAACCTGATACTTGCATACTACAGGTTGTAAGCCTGCAAATGGAGACACCACCCATGAATTGAAAAGTGTGTAACCTTTTAGTTGGAGTATATGTCAATTATCACTAAACTATGTTCACTTTAACGTATATAATAAGTTTTTTAAACTTTAGATTTTTTATTTAATATATATATAAATTTTGAAAATATATAGCTAAGTAGTGAACTTGAAATTTGTATCTAAAAAAATCTTGGCCACATTCACAAATTTGTAAAAGTAGAATATATATGCCACGTGGGAGTAAGGGATCCAACCCACAATCTCAACCTTCGCTTTGACATTTTAGATTCTAACTTTCGGTAACTAGTATTAGTTTATAAATATAATAACACTTTAAATAATTTTTTCATTAAATCGGTTGTTTTTGACAAAATATTTAGAAAAAAGTGGGCTGGACGGCAGCCCACTTATCTGGCACTATATAAAGGGCTAAAACAGAATCCGGGCAGGCCAGTTGTAGCGATACATTACATGCTACGAAACGGCGTTGGTATTCCCTTTTACCCGACGAGCATCGCCGTTCCCAACTGAAAAATATTTGCGCAGCTTTTCCGAGTCCAAGAACAAGATCTCCCCGTCCTCGTTTTTCTGATAGGTCGCAATATGTCTCAGGTTCATTCACTCACTCAATTGTCTCCTTTGATATTTATTTTTGCTGTGTTTTCCTTTGGATCTTGAAGTATTGCGTTCTTAAACCCTAGAATTTTTTTTCTTAATTATTTGTTGCTGAAGAATGAAAGCTGAATTGCACTTCAGTATTCCTCCAGTTCTTGAATTAGAATGAGATTGGCCAATTCTTTTTCAAGGCGTGGACAATACGTAGGTTTCTGTTCGATCTATTTTACGCATCTTCGTTTGGTTTAGTTTTTATTTCTCTCTCCGTCTGTGCGATTGCTGTGTCTCGCATTCAGGCAGCAATCGGCGATACTGTTCGAGAATTAGAGTTAGATATTCTCATTCTAGTTCTCCTGGTTTTGATTTGATGAATCCATTAATCCTGGATGAATCTATTTAACCTTCTCTTCTTTTCTTTCATTTGTCTTGTACAGGTTGATAGCAGGAATTCGTCCGCAGCCAAACGTGCCAGAACTGATGGTATATACAGACCTTATCGTTTCCTTAGTAATTAAGTCTGATCATGCATTATTCACACCTCCGTTGCATTTGTAACTTTAATTATTAGCTTTTTTGAGTGAATGCATAAGGCACACCAATAAACGAAATTAGATCTATTGATAAATCAGTCTATAGAGATATTTCCAGTGTTCGACATGCTTTGCTGTCTATCATGCGCCTCTCTCTCTCTCTCTCTCTATATATATATATATATCTCGATTTTTTATTTTTTTAAATTTTACTTGCCTTTAGTCTACAGAATGAAAAAAAGCTTCGGCTCCTTGGTATAGGTGGTCTGTTTTATTTCTGGTATTTCGTTTATTTGTTTATAGGTAGCCGAAGGGAAGATGACTGGACTTGTCCTAGTTGTGGGAACGTCAATTTTTCATTTAGAACAACTTGCAATATGCGCAATTGCACTCAGCCCCGTCCTGCTGATCATAATTCTGTAAGATATGAATGATGTCTCTAAAGAAACTAATATTATCACGTTTATTTGTCTGCAAAACCTAGTTTTGTTGTCCCTTGGAGCTAATCACCGAGATGAGATTCTAGCATGTTGTACCCTGGGTTCATCTGAGGCATGTTTGTCTTTTGAGAAGAAACATTCTATTTCTAGCTTTCTAACTGTTTTTCATTTACTTTTCATTTTTAGCGGCTTTTCTGGAGTTCTACTTTTTTATTTTTTATTTTATTATTTCGCATCTTTTGGTGGTAATTATGTTTTGCATTTTTTTGGATTACATTTTCTCACAATTATTTTAGGTTGATTTTTGGTTGTGCATTGTCTCAGGAGTAACAACTGATTTGCAACTACTTGAGCTTCATAGGATGGGATTTTATTGAAATTTTTTAGTTTTGAGTTCTTTGTGTGCTAGAGACAATCACTTTATTATTATTATTTTGGGTTCATTTTTGCCATATACTTGTAACATCCCTTTACCCTTCCCTAGGCCTACACCTTCTTTACGTTTCTTTCATAGAAGAGAACCTGGTTTATTAACCCCTCCTAACACGCAAACTGAGTTGAAATCTGTGTTTTTTTGCTAAATGAATAACCTACTTGAGCTTTCTCTCCGTCCAGAAATCTGCTGCCAAGCCTGTTCAAGCTCCACAGGGTTACTCCTATTCTGCCCCTTACATGGGATCTGGTGCACCATCTTCAATATATCCTGGTGTACCACCTTATGGTTCTTCCATATTCAATGGTTCATCTATACCTCCCTATGATGTGCCATTTTCCGGGGGATCAGCATATCATTACAACTACAGCAGCCGGTTTTCTGCAGGCAGCCCCTACAGACCTTTGCATCTATCTGGTCCCGCACCTTATTCAAGTGGATCTATGATGGGAAATAGTACGTCCCATTTCTTTTTTGCACATATTTGTTTGTGATTATTATTTATGACATCATATTGTTATCTGTCTATCAAAATTATAACTTGAACATTTATATTCCTGTCTTCCTCTATGAGAAGTGCATGCTGTGCCGATCTGCTGATCAATCCTTTATTTATGTATTTATTTTATTCTTTCTTTTTTTTATAGGTGCAGTATATGGTATGCCACCCATGATTGATCGCTATGGCATGGCTTTGCCCATGGGCCCTGCCACCATGGTAGGTCTAAAGTTTTAAGTTCGTTGTACTTGTAGCTTCTAGCTCTTTTTAAAATGTCCTTTACAGCTTTAATCCCACCAGCACCACCACCAAAATGAAGATATTCAGCATTCAACGTCCATAGACATATTCTGATAATATTTTATGGAAATGTTGAGAAAATGCATCACTAAAATCTTGGTTTTTTTAAAGATAAAAAATTAAAAAAGAAATGATTTCATATCACATTACAATATATTCACCTTGGATTTGGATATCTTTTCTAATAATACATTATATAATGTATTACAAAAAAAAAAGTTAAAAATGAACTTTTAGTAATTATTTAGTTAAAAAAAACTTTTTGTAATTATTATTATTATTTTTTTAAATAAGAAATTTCAATGGTTGAATGTTGAAGTCTTTCCTATTAAAATTGACGTTAAAAGCTGAAAGTTTGGATATTTATGAATTTTTTTTTGGATAAAAGCTTACCCCCACAGTTTTCAATTGCGACAGAGTGAAACTATCATGTACTTCAATTTTGTATGTATTTAATGAATCTATTTGAAAGCAATTTATATTACCTGTGTTTATGTAATGTTGTTCTAGATTGAGTTTCATGTTTCTTTCCTGTCTATCTCCCTCTGTGCAAAATTTATGAGCAAACATATTTTCCAGGGTCCGAGGCCAGGTTTTTTTCCAGATGATATGGGTCAGAAGAAGATTGCAGGTTTGCCATCTTTACTTGCTTGTTGTCTGCTGTCTCTAACCATTGGATAATGGAAAATTTTTATTATCTAACGTCTTGTGTTCATCATAGACACTACTCGTGACAATGATTGGGCATGCCCGAAATGTGGAAATATCAACTTCTCATTTAGAACTGTCTGTAACATGAGGAAGTGCAATACACCAAAGCCTGGGTCACAGGTCTGTTAGTCCGTTTTCTTAGGGCTATGATTTTCTTTTATGTGCTTGTGACGCAGCTAGTTCTTATCAAATCATCGTTGGCAATCTTCTCATTGTTGTTAAGTGGTGGTGATGTGAATGTTGAATTTCTTTCTGTGCATTTCCGTCATTCATAACATAAAAAAATTTGAGTTCACTTAATTTTATTTAGCAGACTAACTCTTTCATTTTCTTTTGTTTATGTATCTTTGAAATGCAGGGTTCCAAAAATGACAAAAGTTCTAGTAAGTTGAATTTATGGGCCTGTTCCACTAGAAGCTGTTTCCTTTTCAAAGTTCTGTAAACTTCATGATTTCTAACGTACTTGTCTATAATGCCTTTCAGAACAAAAGACGCCAGAGGGTAGCTGGAAGTGTGAGAAATGTAACAACATAAACTATCCATTCCGAACCAAGTGCAATAGACAAAATTGTGGAGCCGACAAACCAGCGGATTCCGAGAAATCTCCATCACCTGCACAGGAGGAAAATGATCAGGTCTGTTGTGTGAGTTTCTGTATTTCTGTTTGTTGTTCGCAATTGCTTGTGCTTTTGTTCAGATCTGTATGCATTATGAAGTGGATTCCATTCAATTTGGTAAACAAGATAATATATGAACCACCTCCACTTGAAAAGGTGAACCCTGTTGGTAAATTTTCGGTGGTAGTGGTACTTTTGTTGAGTGTACCCATTTGTTTTCTAATTTTATTTTCCCGTTCATGCATTAATTTGTCATTGTGTACTGTTCCAGTGAGTTCTAGAACATGTTTGAGGGTTGAGAAGGTCCAGAGTTATCTTCCAGCGTTGCTCAATATGGGTGTCTGAAAGTCAGTCTTGTCGTCCTCATGTTGCAGCAGTTGTCAAGTCAGTCTACCTCTCTTGATCCGTGTCAAGTTGTATTAACTCAATTTTAGTGCTGGTCATTTCAATGGTTTCATGCACCATATCATCGGCCGGCATGATCTGGCAAAAGATTTAAAGGTTGGTTTATGATATTCAGGGACATTTTACTTTTGGAATTGACTTATTTAGTCTAGTGGGCCTGTTACTTGTGCACTAAAATATGTTAATGAGTAGACTAGACTGTGCCCTTTTGGGTTGCGGTTTGATCTTCTGAATTGTCTGTGTGTTGTGTTGGGCGTGCAAAACTGAACCTTTTTCTAGGACAGGGTCCCAAAGTTCAGAGGATGCGTTGGACTAGATAGGGTTCTTTACTATTTACTTTGGTGGGATTGGACTGAAAGTAAGGTTTTTAGGTTCAGTCAATTGCTTCATATCTGATGAAAAAGCCGCAGAGGGCATTCATGGTTATTGGTGGTGTGGTGTCACTGTCACTGTCACTGTCACATCATCAGTATGTTGACATGTTGCCTGCTTGCATGGTCGTCAATAGTAAGCCCTCCCATTTGGTGTTTCACTATAATTAAGTTAGGGTGCAAAGGGGGGCCTTTTTTGTCATCATTTTTCAATTTTATTATTCTCTTTTTTATGTCATTATCGTTGTGCACTTGTTCTCTTTCTATCTATGATTCGGGGGGTGTTATTTTCTTGGCCTTTGAACAACTGATATGTTATACTGCTTTCTCCATTCTCCTAACATTAATCATCAGCATGGATGCGATGAATAAGGTAAGCTTCAGAACCACTTCCAATGGGTGTTATCAATTAGGGTTTAAATAACTTTAATATTTTTCTCGTCATTCTTTTATTTATATTTTTAGAGTTACCTCGGTTCTCTTAAGCGTTTGTTTTTTTGCCGAAAAGATATATTTTTTTTTCATATCAATTGAATTTTGACTAGCTTTCTGCCGTATAGCTTTATTCTATTCTTGTATGAAAGTTTTATAAATTGCTTTTGTTTTTCGGATAAGTAAATGTACAAGGTGTCATATCTTGGAATCTTGTCACAAAGTTTATAAGTTCTCAATTTCCGTCAGAAAGTTTTCCACGAATATCTTTCAAATTTATTCTGACATTTTTAATGCTTTTTTTAAAATAAATTTAAAATTAGTTTACTTTTCAAATGAACTGAAAAATTCAATGGTACTTTTAAATAAGTTTGGGGTAAATCATTTTTTCTAACAATATCCTCTATTATTTAGTAAGTCTATCAATTGATGAAGGTTTGATTTGTCCGATAAAAGAAGTTATTTTAAAACTCACTTGTAGTCAATGTTTCTATCCTTCGTCCAAATTACGCTTGTAACAAGCCAGATTATGGGTGCGGTAAATCATTCAATAAGGTCATTTGGCTCTAATCTAATCTGGACAAGTGTACGGCCAGTGTAGCGTTTCTTAAGCTTGTAAATGATAATTGGTTAATGCAGATCTCATGCAGGTTTTGATTACGTTCTGTCAGCAATTAATTCTAACAGTAAGCTATTTCCTGTTATCTTGGCAAAGTAAAATTACAATTGCACAGATACTTGAACAATTCTAGAGTTTGACCGATTATTTTGCCTTCCATATTTGGTTTAGTTTTTAATTCATAAAAACTTTGATAATCCAATTCAATTTCTAGATTTAAATTATTAAAAAACTTTTGGAAAATCATAATTATAAAAATGTGAAAACTAGGTTTTTTTCAAAGTCGTGTTCCTTTTGCATAGCTTGTACATTACCTTCAACTCTCTAAAAGTTAAAGCAAGTATAAATGTTAATGAATAAGCTTTATGAAGGTAAAACACTAAAAATCTGTTTGGTAGCATTTCTGTTTCTTTTTTAATAAAGAAAAAAGCAATTACATTACCCAAACAATATTTTTATTTATACTGGAACAAATTGAAAATGGGAATAAAAAATAAAGAAAATTGATTTTGCTATTTCTAAATTTCTATACAATTTTGAGAATGTTTAATTAAAAAAATAAGAAACAAGTCGTTGTCAAACGCTTAAATTAAAATTGAAAACGAGAAATAAGAAATAACATGTCACGAAACAAATTCAGTACACATTCCAGTTCTGAAAAACAAAGAATCAAAAACTAAAAAGACCATATCAAATGAGGCATTTAGCTTCTCTTTGAGGGGGTTGTATGAGAAATGGCAATGAAATAAATCTGCAATAGGTTGAGTTATAGAGTCCTAAACTACAATTTCTTAGTCAAGGGGAAGGAGGGGAAACGTGCAAAATCCAGATAGCCTGCAAAACTACCATGCAAAGTTTATAGGACAGTGAACGGGTGATAATGTCCACTTCGGGAACTAAAGTAGATCGACAGAAAATGGGAAGATATGAGGCTAGAAAATCCGCTACTATGATCTCTCTTTCTAATGAATGAATTAAAAATGAAAACAATTCAACAACCTTACGAAAAGATGGCATATTTTTCTAGGCTGAAAATAGCGCTGTCGCGTGGGACAATACTTTAGGGTGAATTGCGTCGTCGGATGGGGTATTGGACATGATATAGAAGGAAACAGAACTCGGGAAAATATAACGCTCGGCACAAAAGAATAACAGTCAAAAAGCAAGAAAAAGGGGTCTCAATCCGTTTTAGGTAAAGAAGTTTTCGCATTGGCAGCGCAGGCAGGATAATTAATCTAAGTGGAAACCATGAATGAAAAGACTGCAGAGGAGTTGGCTGACCTTAACTTGAGGTTGCAGCAGTGGTCACCATGACCCAGAACCATCAACTTAACTGGTTCGAGTACATCTCAATCTCGCAAGGCGATTTGAAGAGCTGGAAGTCTTGAAAGAAACTGCTGCCTTCAGTGTTTGGATGGTAGATTTGCATCTGCGGTTCGACGGATTGCTGTTCACTGCACCAGCATTCTGAATCTACTGAAGCAAACGGCAAACTCTGAATTGCCGGATTCATTGGCGACTGCGACATGCCGGTTTGGTTTGTACAATTGGGGCTACCAAGACGATTAGGGTTGTTGGGTGAAATCAATTTTGCCTCACACGAACCTCTTAAATCAGTTGACAGAAGAGAGAGAGCACGTTGAAGATCCTGTGCTGAATCCAGATTGGAACAAATCACATATCCTTAGATTTTCCTTAACATGTTAACCTCTATGCATGTAAAAGAATTACATCAAATGAACATTTTAAATTTACACACTTTTGACATTATTACTTATCGTAACACAATTAAAATGGTCCATCCGTGCAAACACGATTAAAAAACAAAAAAACAAAAAAACAATGTATGCATAAGGGAACTCTTGTGACGTAGATTTGCAGAATCACATTATTACTGAAGAACAAAATGCGTATAAAAGGGGTAAGAACGAACCTGCATCAAGAACCTTAGTCGCAGCTCCATTGGAGGGAGCAAGCTTACCGGAATGGTGGTGAGGCATAGCATGCATAAAACTCATTTCATCACCAGATACGTTTAGCTGCCCCGTTGAACCACATGCCTTTTCAGGCTTTAATACATATTTGCTACGTTGTGAGTGTCTGGAGCTGAATGTAGATTCCCATGTTGAATTTGCATGAGGTCTAGGATAGATGAGCGATAATTTGTCTGAGAAAATGTCAATCTGTTGCCTCTCTGCAGAGTCCAAAATATAAAAGCATGATCAACATGCTGATGGTTAATAAAATAAATAGAAATACACTAAGAACTGCAGGCAGAAATCCCCTTCTTAGATTTTTGAGATGTCTGACTGCAAACTACCAGCTCAATCAGGATTCCGAACGTGAAATGTAAAGCCATAATGAAATTAATGATCGGAAATGACAGTTCTTTTTGCATATTTAGTGTAGAGGTCGTGTGCAATAAAGAATTTAACACCACCTTCGGTTGCAGACTTGTAAGTTTATTAAACAAGAAAACTGTTCTTCGTTCAGAATGACATACCAAAATCCCAAGAAGACAGCCTTGCTGGATTCAAACTGATCACTTTCGACTGTGGCTTACGACGTCGAGCATTGTGATTAGAAAGACGCCTACGACAGCTTCGTTTCTTCTCATCAAATTCAGATGTGCCATGAAACCTTTGACATTGCAAAAGTGAGGATTATTCACGTTCAATTAAAAGAGTGCCTAATTTTGGAAACATATAGTGGCAGTGAATATTCAAGATAAACAGCAGATTAGAGTGCTAATGATAAGATAATTCTTTCTGACCATCACATCTTCATAGATTTTAATGTCAAGGAGTTTACCTACTACATTGTTGACAAAACCGACGCTCTAAGCCTCCAATGATGACCTTAGGAGATTTGGAGTGACTTTCACAAACTCTATGTTTGCGATAGTAATCCTTAACACTTGAAAGATCTATGTTACAACCTTCAACTTGGCAGTGAGGAGATGTTGTATTCTGGCACCTCTTTCGAGTAGCTCGTGATGCCATCATGGAAAAAGATGGCTTTGTAAGATTTCCAGCACTAGAATCTTCAAAGTACGCCTGCTTACCAAGCTTCAGACTCAGCATTGGCTCGCAGGAGCAAGTTGAAGTCTCAGGTTTTGCATATGTGTTGGCCACTTCGTCCTCAACAAATTCGTTTTTATCGCCAATATCTTCTAAAGTGGCCTCAAACCCCTCAAGTGTAAATTTGGTTGTTCTACTTTCCTCAATTGACAAAGAATTTATGGAAACTGATTTTGAGCTTTCTGGAGATTTTTGCCCCGTCTCAAAAGAAGGACGACCAGTCCTCCTATCATCCCCGGAAGATCCAAAGTTTATTACTTGTTTAGTTTGAAAATTAGTTGAATGAAACAAATCACCCTGTTCAGCAATTCTGGGATTAAGTACAGTTAGGTTCTCCCAATCCCATTGTAAAGGGGATCTTGCATTCCACTCCATCAATTACAAATGGCTGGGGCAATGTCTCATGCACCTTTCTCCTATCAGTAATTAATAAGAGCATTGACTGGCATTTAGGATCAAATTAGTTGGTCACAACAAAATAAAAAGTGTATACAAAGTCCAATTGCATCACAAGAATTGGTGGTCATAGTTTATTCATTGACAAGAACAGATACTACAACTGAGCCAAAAGGCTTAGAAAGAGCAAGTAAGACTAAAACAAGGAAATGAAGAGGAAGCATAACTTAAAATGAATGACAAAGAAGAAGGTGAATTTAAACTATTTTATTTGAGAATCTGAGATCATATTTAAAAAACCAGAAGCTTGTACCAAACGTTCTTCTTAAAATCAACACGCATGAGGTAGTCCTCTCTGAAACTCAGGGATTAATTCAGTGTCGACCACATCGAAGGATGCCATAGAAAGACAGGCACAAAAGCAGAAAGATGGGCAATAAATGGGGAAATACTTTAATTAGTATAAATTCTTTTTACGTATACTTCACTATATTCCAAAAACCCAACCGGGTGCGACTTTAAGCAACCACACTGGTGACAGAAATCTCCATTCCTTCTCAAATAATGGCCACACAAGCAAACAGCATTAAATCATCGTGTTCAAAATATTAGATTACCAAGCTCTATAACTTCCCTTCAAGGCAAGATACAGTCCTTCAGCCACTTACCTTCCGGTTTTAATGCTTGAAAACGTCCTACAATTACCTGAAAATCTGTGGTATACTTAAACTATACAGTTAAAATCCTAGCATTCTGGAGAAGGTTCCTTCAAAGTATTAAGAGATACTCCCTTGTTTTGTACCCTCACAACTACCTAAGAAAATCACGGATAATAATTATATAACCGTGTTAACTTTCGTGAGTCACGACATAATTCTGCGGTGGCAAAGGCCGATAGTTAACCCTATATAATGGAAACATGACAAAAACCGAGTTTCTTTGTTCCAAATAATTAGCGAAAAATTCGTACAACAAAAGTAAAGCTATTATTACATTATAGTTCAGCCTAATAACGGAAGTGAAGGAAGAAAATTACCACCTCAAAGTATCAAGGTTGCCAAGTACCGATCCTGACCGAGCATGTTTTGTTGGTATTTCTCAGTGCGAATAAATGCAACTGAGCTAAATTGTCAAAAATCAGACGGTTCAGGTAGGTGCCGGTCCCCTTCCTAGGCTCTGGCCAGCCGGCCAGGTTTTGCAATTTAAGCGTCTTCTTCTTACTTCCCTATCTTCTAGTCTTATCAGAAGAACTGTAGGGAGCCATTTGCTATGGGAAAGCCAACAATGTTCAAAAGGAATATGCGTTAGGTTACGATTACGGCAGCCATAAATATCGAGATAATTGGAGGGAAACCAAATGAAGAATGATGAGAAGAAAACACAATGCTTCGCAATCGGCTATCGAATGTACGGCCTTATGCTAACTATAATTTCAACATTTAAGTAGAGTTATCCACAACAAACCGCAAATATCGACAACAACAGCAGCACAGAAGCACTATAATGCGTTCCCCTCCATTTAAACCGAGTCACAAGCGAAATCGCTCCATCCAAACCACTAAAAACGGAGGAAATCACATATTCGATCGTTTTCAAAGCCTCCTAATCTCTCCACTGAGTAAGTAATTATTAACTTGCGGTTCTTATCCATCACTGAATGAAATCGATCAAAACAAACGAGTGATAGATTTATTCAAACGCGAACCAAAACGGCCATCCGAAACAAACTACAAATTTGTAAAAGAAAAGAAAACAAAAACTGAATCGAAGAAGCTCCACGGAAACATAATAATAACAGTCAACTGAATTCAGCTTCATTAATTTTCTTCCATCGCACAAAGTAAGAACAAGAAACGAGCAAGATTTTCAGAGCTTACCGAGTGCGTTGGTGGAAGGATGGATTAGCAGTCCGATATCAAATCATCAGAGGAGCGTAGGCTGTGTTCGTGGAGGACTGCACGTACGTGCCACTCCACTGGCAAAGCTCGCGCTTATCACACGCTCCTCTGCTTTTCCTCTTACCCGCCACTCGATTCCATTATTTATACCATAGACATAACGACACGTTTTGGGCCTGGCCCCGGCCCACACTTGATCCGAAACCATGTCAGACATGTTTAATATTATTTTATAACAAACCAACCGAGCTTTACATTTATTTAAATATTAAATATTTTATTCTTAGTTAAAGCAAGTTGAAGATATTTACATTATTTTTAGCCATAATTAGAAGAGGTTGGCCTAGTGGGATTTTGTTATAATATTATATGGTGACACATGAAAACATGCATAATAATAATGTTGCGAAAATCTTTTGTTCTTCATTGGTAAAGACCTATTCTATACTTAAAAAAAAAAAAACAAGGCCTATCTTATAATGAATATTTAACGACAAAATAAATAAATGTAAGAATAATTATAAAAAAAAACATAAACATTCAATGATGACAAATACAGAGATAGGTCTATGCTAAAGACCTAAATATTTTCCATAATGTCATCACACTAAAAGACTTTATTTTGATGGGATGAGCAAGCAATTAAGTTTATCGTTAAAGTAATTTTTTTAATTTAAATTATCTTCCTATCTTTAAAATATTTTAATTCATAGTGCTTTATTTTTAATATCTTAAAATATTTTGTCTTAATACTTCATAATAAAAATAATATTGTTGTTAAAGTTTCATATTAAATTTAATATCACTTTTATTTTCTTCCATTTTCTGATTATTGACCTTTTTTTTTTCCAGAGATTTATCAGTCTATTGGAATTAGAATTAAAAGAAATAAGATGTCTCTTATTTTGAAGAAAGCATGAAAATATTTTAGCAGTAGATGAGATCATATAGTGTAATGTTTTGGCATGTAAGAAATATGTGTAATATCGATATAATTTTCTGTAAACAGAAAGTTTTAAAAGAAAAACTTGAAAATAGCATTTTTAAGAATGCACTAGGTTTGAAAGAGGCATAATTCCCAAACTTATAGATCCATCTCAATGCATATAACCCACCATCGTATAACATATTAAATAGTCATCAAATACCACACTTAACTTTTAAGTAAATGAGTTTATTCTAAAAGGTCATAAAATCATTTTCTTTTATTATTGTTTTTTGTTTTAATTAAGTTCTATGGTAAATATGTTAAAAAGAAAAAAGAAAAAGCTAATTCAAGCACTTTGACGAACCAAACTCAATTATTTCTATAATTTATGTTCTAAAAAAAGTTCAATTTGTATAATTAAAATAAATAAAATTTTGGTTTTGGATCATATAACTACTGTCTGTTGACCAACACGCTACTTTATTATTGTCTTTTTAGGCACACTTCCAACTATAATCACAACCAATTGCCATTTGATACTACAATTAATTAATAGGCGTAATCATATTAGTCTGTGGGATTGAAGCAATAATTGCATGAATTGAATAGTATAATTGCCTCAAGTCACGTGATATGACTGGATACTTCCTTTTCTTAAACAGAAGTTCAAAGTCACAAATAGATGTTTAATTCAAATCATTTTATTTTTAGTCAGTAGAACAAAGTTCATTTAATTTGAACGAAATAAACAAGCTAAATTTCAAATATGCAACTTGAAAAGGAAATAAACAAGCTAAGTTTCGGGCTAACCAGAGAAACATGTGTGAGCTAGTTTCAGTGGCCATTCTATTAGAGGATTCAGACAAAGTATAGACATGACACCTAATTCAAACATCTCTCAGGATTTGAAATTTTAGAAGACAGGAAACTGTGTTAATCAGACAGATCAAGAGGCGGTCTTGGCTCGAATCTTATCGATCATCTTCTCTTTGATCAGCCTTCTCATAACTTTCCCAGAAGGCGATTTTGGGATAGAGTCCACAAAATGAACCACCCTGACTTTCTTGTAATATGCAACGTTTGAGGCAACGTATTGGATTATCTCTTCTTCAGTTTCTTTCGAATTTGGAGCTATCACGACGCTCGCTGCTGGGATTTCACCGGCTTCTTCATCTGGCAACCTGAAATAACGATGCAGCATAGCGTTTTTCTTAACCATTTTGGCTTTTGGTTTGTTAAACTTTTCTCTTTAAATCGAAACAACATAAACAAAATGAATGCGAGGCGAATCTTACGGCACCACTGCTGCATCTTCAATGGAGGGATGAGTAAGGAGGATTGCTTCTAACTCAGCTGGAGCAACCTACAGGAAAATCAAGCACCATTCATCACCTTATTTAATGTTAATATTTATAGAAATGTTCATTTGCAAACTGTCATATTCAGATCTTGAGATTCCTTTTAATAACCAATGGATGAACTTGAAATAGGTTTTGTGTTTACTTGAAAGCCTTTATACTTAATCAACTCTTTAATACGATCCACAATAAACACATCGCCATTGTCATCGATGTATCCAATGTCCCCAGTGTGCAGCCATCCTCTGTTGTCAATGGTCCTTGAAGTCTCCTCTTCATTATTGTAGTAGCCTGAAACAAGAGGGAAAGATTCAGCCATTTAACTAAAGATCTCGGGGCTTTACGCATCAATCTATATCCCATACCTTGCATCACACACTGACTTCTTACACATATTTCTCCCGGAGTATTCTTTGGCAGAGATCTTCCGCTCTCGGGGTCGATGAATTTGACTTCTAGATTAGGAAGAATTCGGCCAACTGTGTTTTTCTTTGCAGTGAGATTCTCCTTGCCTATGCTTCCATAGTTGAGAGTGATGCAGCTGTGCTCAGTTAGTCCATATGCCTGTTGGTGACCAACGGCATTTAGTTAGCATATTATATGCAAGATGTAAGTTAGGGCCTCACAGATTAGCTCTGCAATGTCATGGTGGAGCTCGGTTCGGTTTCGACGTAAAGAAATCAGGAAGGTGGACGTAGTATATAGGTCAAAAATTTGAAGAGACGAAAAAGAGTCAAATTCTCACAGTGGCAACTTAATTACCTCTTGAACATCCACGCCCGGGAACTTTTTCTCAAAGGCAGTCTGAATTTCCGGTGCGAGCGGGGCGGCTGCAGTCATGATTGCCTGAAGTTTGAGACTGCTAAGATCAAATTCCTCCACAATGGGATTCTTAACCAAAGCCAAGATGATGGGAGGAACAATTGGAGCAAATGTGACCTCCTGTGTTATCAGGGCATTAATGAAGGTCCTAAGATCAAATCTTCCCATCACCACAACTTTGCCTTTGTTTCTAAGTGTGGCACAACATATGCCAGTTATCCCATAAATATGGAAGAACGGAATGAGGCCTAACGTCGTGACCTTGCCCTCCGTTTCTCGGGGCACGCCGGAGAGAGTAGAACACAAGTTAGCCACTAGATTTCGGTGAGTTAGCATGACACCTTTGGAAACCCCTGTGGTGCCTGACGAGAAAGGAAGAGCACACAAATCAGACTGCTTGATATCTTCCTTGACATGATTGTTGCCTGCACGGTCCGCGGCTTCGAGCAGTTTGTGCCAGTTCATGGAACCTTCAATCAGTTCTTCACCCAATACTATCACTGGTAGCTTTAATTCCTTCACCTGTTCTCAAAAACACAGACAGCAGCAAGTCAAGTTGAATTCGAAAGAATTACAATAACAACAACAGTTTCTGTTTTACCTTTTCGAAGTTTGGGCTATTTGTGACAACGAGCTTGGCATCGGCTGCCTCCACCTGCTTTTTGATTTCTGATATGTGAGCTGCTGGATTCACACCAGAAAACACACCCCCAGCAGCCATTATCCCTAGAGCCACAATGGCATATTCTGCAACGTTAGGAAGAACAACAATAACCACCTGACCCTTCCTCAACCTCAGAGAGCTCAAGGCCTTAGCGAATCTCTTCGTGTCTCTCACGACTTCACGGTAAGTATACGCCTTTCCGCTCACAGCTTCCACAAATGCAACATTTTCAGCATATGATTCAGCATTCTGAAGTACAAACTCCGGCAATGTGATATCATCCGGCACTTGGACCTCAGGAAGTTGGCTGCGGAAAATGTGTTCCTCGTCTTCTACCAAATCCCGTATGAGAGTTCCCATGGCGGAGATGTTTGCTACAGGCATCGACGAGGGCTGATTTCCCTCTTCTTAAAAAGAAAGAGCTGAGAGAGCTCCACCTCTGTTTTCATGCTTTGTGAATGAGAAATATGTAGAGTTATCGGGGGTGAGATTGGCATGGGCCTTTTTTGGTGGGATATTGTTGATTCACGCCATTCATTATGGCAGGTCTGCAAGCTCTCTTTGTAAACAAACCAGAGCATCTTCCTATTTCTGAACCAACAATTATTGGACTTAGAATCTCATACTTCGGCATGAAACTGCAAAAAACTTATCAAAATTTCACTGGACATAAATTCCACATCTCTATTATTTCTCATTTACCGATCTATTTGAAAGCAGCACTATCAAAAAACAATACGATAGAGAAATGGGATGACTTGTTTTCAAGAGAAACTTCCACCTATACTTCTCACTTATTTCCTTGTCTTTTGTTTCCCTATCCAGTTCATATTTGACATTACAGAGAGGAAATTTTGACGTAATATTTTAACTTTTTAAGTAGAATATGTCGAAGGGCTTATGTCATTTGACAGAAAAGGAAAATCGTTAGAGATTTACTTTCTTTCTCGTAAAAGAAAATTAAAATCAATAAACAATCCTAACAAACGCACCCATCGTCTTCACAAATTCCGGCGAAAGTTTATTGCAACTTCCGTTGGTCAAAGCTTCTTTCTTTAATATGTTATTAATATTGAACATAGAAAGCAAAGAAAGCTGGTTTACCCTTGAGAGTCAACGCCTCTGCAACTGCCAACTTGCTCTGTTCTCGCGTCGTGTTTCCATGGCACAGATGCTGGGTTCCGCTGATTCTGCAAATATGAAAGTCTCAGTCTTTACATCACAGGACTTGAAAGCATTTACCGACAATTTCAACGGCAAGAACCTGATCGGAATCACTCACTCCGGCATGTTATACAGAGGACAGCTCCGATCATCTTGGTCGACTGCAGAAGAAGCTCGAAATGTTACAGTGAAAATATGGGATCAAAAACCAGAGTTCGCATGCGAATGCTTGGTTCGAGTGAGTCGTCAAATTTTGAGTTATACCCTCCATTTGCAGACACAATTGGCGGTGTTTCTTTCCAAGCTTAAAATTTGTTTTACGTCTTCTCAGGAAGAAGTGAAGTTATTGACACAGCCATCTCTAAAAGGGCATCCCAGTTTTGCAAATTTGGTTGGTTATTGCTGTGAGGATGAAGTGAAGGGTGTCGTTTATGATCTCAATCCATTGGGTTTCTTGCAAAATCTTATGACAAGAGGTAGTTTACACGCGGACGCGCCATGAAACCAATATCTTTGAAACTCTGCGTGCTGATTTTGAAATATTCTCTGCAGATAACTTTAATTGGCTTCAAAGAGTTGATGTAATTCTCGAACTTGCTCGGCTGCTGGACTTCATTCACTGGCAGGAAAAGCCAAGCCTGGCCTTCGATTTTAGAGCATCAAATATACTGCTAGATTGGGTCAGAATAGTTTCCTTCCTATCTTTGAAATTGAACAACGAAGACGAAAAAAGCTACTGCTATCTCGTGTTCTAGTATACGCTGCTTCGATATTGTTAATCTGTTTATTGTAACAGGAATGCAAGCCGAAACTATGCGGGTTCGCGCCGAATAGCAACGAGACAGTTAGTGACCTCAATAAACCATACAAGTTTGCACAAATTCCTTCTGGCTATTCTCATCCATCTATAAGAGGTATTGAATTTGAAATGAATAAAAGTGAGCAGATATTCCTTCACTAAACTTAAAAATGTGTTTAAAATGGATAAAAGCTAGCTATCAATAAGTATAATCTCCAAGATTTCAATCAAGATTTCCCAACTTCCAAAGATAATATAAAAGAATCAGTAGAAAATCACATATTTCCTTGGGCAAAAGAAAACGAAGTTTCGTTACTTGAAATTTACTTAATGAACTATGAAGCATTGCAGGTGGGAGTCGAGGGAAAATGAGCTCTGACGTATATTCCTTGGGGGAAATTCTGCTTGGACTTATAGCCAAGAGAGATTTAGAACATGAGAAACTGGAAAAACAAGATCATCACCAGGTTGTGAACAGCCTAGTGAGCATTTGGGCAAAGAATGAATACAGACCAAATGCCTCGCTTGTCCACGAAACCTTGCAGGAAGACTGGGGTTACAACGCTGAAGAGGGAGTCAGAATTACAGAGCTAGCAATGCACTGTATAGAATTCTTTCCAAGCAATCGTCCGAGCACAAAGCAAGTCCTTCAGCATCTTGAAGGCTTGCAAGTTGCCCAACGTCTTACCGATGTCAGACCCAGAAAAAAGGAAAGAAAATTCTGTGGCATATGAAATCATCTTTTTTATTATTTACCAGTCAAGTTCAGCAGATAGTCATGGAGTTTAATAGCACTCACTAGTTTTCAGCTTTCTCTCAACAAAGCAGAAAGTTGTCTAACATGAGAGCTGCAAATACAGATCTATCATTATTCATAACCTATGTTATAGTTTTACCCGTTCAACATAGCTTAAGGATGTAATTGAAAATCAATTGCAATCCCAGAATTTCATTTTTAACACTCTGTTTGTGTCTTCCATCCTGTTTAAAGACAGCTTTCCACACTAACTACCAACTAATTTGAGCAAAAATAACTATTCTTTTCAGGAAGAACCTTTCACTTTCATCAGATGTACATCCTCTCTCATCTTAACGCCTAAACGTTGGATAAAAGTGACAATATCTGTGAAAATTGGCAACAGATGAAATATGACTTCAGAAGTCAAATCAGAGGGTAATCTTAAAAGCTTGTCTGTTAGGCTTGTAGAGACTAATTATCATGCTCAAAAAAGGGAAAAAAAATCAGGACTAAAAGAAGAGCTCAAGATTAGATGTTATGGTACAAATTTGTGTAGTAGATCTCACACCAATTTCTAGGAGTTGGATGTTGGAATGCTAGTTCTAGAACTCGAAGCACTGAGCCATGGCGCCAGTACAAAATTGGATGATGGCATGGCATTCCTCAATATCAATATTAAAAAAAAGAACATACATAAGCCACTTCTGATTAATGCCAGTGAAAAGACAAGGGTACAATGCACAATGGAGAGCAAATAATCCAATCCAAAAGCTACACCAGAAGTCTACAACAACATGTTTCAACTTGATCATATTTACCAATGAATGATTAGTAACATATAAATGTCAAGACTCTAGGGTTATACCCGAATTAGTTCTTGTGAGGAACAGAATTTATGCTCGAGAGATTCCAAACCTAGCATCATCTTTGAAGTTTTTTATTGTTTGAAGCACAGGTGTTTCAACTTTCTGGTTCCTAAGCCTTAACCTCCACTTGTTTTTGTCTGCGTTCGGGAAGCAACAGCTCGAGTCCATCCTTGCTATCAACATTCAGAGAGTTCAGAGATTTGTTCAGATATGGATTTGATGTCAATATGCGGGGCGGAGAATTCCCATTGAACTCCAAAACTTCAGGAAAACCATCAGCGCACCCCTTCGACATACCAACATCAATCCGTATTGCTTGGTTGTTGCAGACGCCATTAATCCCCGCCATCTGAATCGTGTGTCCCATTATCATCCTTTTTGCCCCTGGAATCGTGTCAAGAACATGCTTAAGCAAAGAACAATCGCAATTCTTCGCTAATTCATCGGAAAATTTCCTCAGCCAAACAACGGCATTGCTCCGGCGGCAATAGTCCGGGGCGAATTTTCCTGACAACCCCTTAATCCAATCTCTCACTTCTTCATTAATCCGCTCCAATCCATATGAGACGTGCCCCGGCAAAAGGCCGCCGTGAACGAAAACTGACTCTCCGACGACCAGTACTGTCGTGTTCTGCGACAAGAATCGGCCAGAAATCGGACCGTTGGGGTGCAAAGCGGCAATTCTAGCACGAAATCCAGGATGAAAATCTTCCTTAACACCACGGAAGGCCGTAGGAATTCCTTCAAATGGATCTTTGGGCATTTCTAAACCCACGCAAAGAGCCTTCATTCTGTTTCCTACAGAGAACCAGTCTCCCCAAGCCCTAAATTCCTCCAAGCCTTCCTTAGTCACGTACCTGAAATCACCCTCGACGTTCATGATTTCGTGGTTTCCATTCATGGTGATGATCCTCCCACCATCCCTGGCTGCTTCTCGCTTAAGTTTCTCGAGGAAA